GACTATCCCAGGGATGCGGAGCACCAAAGGTTGGTGGAGTTGATAAGAAATAAAAATTTCCTCGGTCTATTTAAATGCAGGATTGGGGAAAGATTTGAAGAAACTGATGTGGGTAAACTTTTACAAAGTTAGGGTATGTTTTCCTCACCACAAAGAATCGAGAATGTTTACAATGGCTCATGCCTTTAATCCCAGATACTTGAGAGGCTGAAGAAGGAGCCAGCCTGGGCAATTTTATGAGACTCTGTCTCAAGATAAAAATTTTTTAAAAGGGCTCAGAGCTGTGCATAGTGGCACATGCCTATAATTCCAGTACTCTGGGAGGCTGAGGCAGGAGAATTGTAATTTAAAGAGACCCTGTCTCAGGGAAGAGGGGTTGGAGGGAGGCGAGGGGAGTGGGGAAAAAAATCAAGATATAACACGTACAGGTACAAATTGCCCATGATGAACGTGATTATTATGTATATCAAAAGTACACCAATAAAATTTTAATTTAAAAATAAATGTATTTTTCTATATCTTCTTTTTCCCATATTTTGCTTATCAAAGACTATAGTAGCAACTGCTAAAAATGCTATATTACAGCAGCTGAAAGAGGTGAGGATGAAAGTGAAGTCTTAGCCCCAGGAAAATTTTTAGGTTTGATTTGTGTGGCACAGTAGAAATGTTCAGTTTTCTTCCTTTTTGGACCAAAATGTTTTTTGGGTGAAAAACATTTGTCAAAATTATGACACAGCTGGCATCTTCTTTTTTTTTTTTTTTTTTAACTTTCTGCAAAGCTTTATTCCAGAGGGGCTCAGTCCTTCTTGGCAGCTGCCTTCCTCATGGCGGCCAGCACGTTGCTCAGCTCCTCACGCTTCCTCTTGGCGCGGATGTGCGTCCCCACTCTTTTCTTGATGAACTTGAGGGCGCGCTTGTCCTTGGAGACCTTGAGCAGCTCCATGGCGCGCCGCTCATAGGAGGCGAAGCCGCACACTTCCCGGATCATGTCCCGCACGAACTTGGTGTGTTTGGTGAGACGTCCGCGGCGGCGGCTGTGCCTCGGTTTGCTCACATTCTTAGTCACCTTGTGGCCCTTGTTGAGGCCCATGGCCATGGGATAGCGGAGGGCCATGGCTACTCTTTTTCAATGGTTGCTGTGGCGGAAGGACCCGATGGCATCTTCTTGATGCCTTAGGCTTGTATCAGTTATAGCCCTGGGCTCTCATTTAGTGATGTCCTTAGGCCATTTTGAATAAGTAGGGCTATTTAATAGCCTTCACTAACTGATCTCGGGCTGTTTGTTATTTTGAGAAAAAAATCCTAAGGCTACTTTTTTTTCCCATTTACATATTGGTACAGGGTCTCACTATGCAGCTCAGATTTATAGTGTTTCTCCTGTTCTCAGCCTCCTCAGCCATGAGATTACAGGCGTGTGCACCTACCCCTGGATTCAGTGTGCCCCCAGGGGTGGGGCTGGCACAGCATGTGGGACTGGGGATTGAATTTGGTACCTGTGCTTAGCAAAGCAGGCGCTTAGCCTTTTTTAAAAAAAATGTATTTAGTACAGGATCCACAGGCTCTCACTACACAAATGGGACTTGTGGTGACCCTCCTGTTTTCAGCCTCCCAAGTGCTAGGATTACAGGCGCAGGCCAGTTCAGTGTGCCCCGCGGGTGGGGCCAGCACAGCAGGCTGAGGATCAAACCCCTGGCTCCTACGTCTGCTTAAGCAGTTGCTTTAATCCGCTGAGCTATCTGGCTGGCCCTCAAAGGGCTACTTTTATTTTTTTTTAAGTTTTTTTTTAAATTTTAGTAAGGGTCTACAGGGTCCACAGGGTCCACAGGGTCTCATTACGTAGATCGGAGTGTAGCGATCCACCTGTGTTCAGCCTCCCAAACAGCTGGGATTACAGGAGGCCGCCTCCATGCTCAGTCGCTGCCTCAGCGCACCCTGGGGGCGGGGCCGGCACGCTAAACCAGGGATCAAACTCCTGTTTCTGTGTCTGTGTAAAACAGGCACTTTAATCCACTGAGCTATTTGGCCGACCCTATTTTGTAACTTTTTAAAACCTCTTCCTAGCTGTCAATTCTCACTCTTCAGTGTGTTGATTTATTTGCTTACAGAGGCTCCTCTCTGATCCCTAATTGGTTCTCTGTCACTTGTTATACATAGGTATACAGGATATGTAAATTGTCATTTCATAAGGCTGTGGAGAGTCTTTAATGGGTGAAGTTTGTGCGATTAATACTTAGGTCTGGGGGTATCTATTGTGACAGTGGAAGGCACTTTTCTGGAGGGAAAGGAACGCTGGATTTGTAGGCTGGGCAAGGCATACTTCCATGTGCTTCATTAGTGGAAAGAAGAGTGGCTACAGAATTGTTTTCTGGGCGTGGTGGTGTACCCCTGTAATCCTAGCACTTGGTAGGCTGAGGCAGGAGGAGCACTGTAAGTTTGAGGCTAGCCTGGACTACATAATGAGACCCTATCTCAAACAAACAAAAAAAGGGGAATGACTAATGTGGTTTGTATGATGGGAGAAAATGAAGGGGAGAGTTTGAGGAAGAAGGCCGTCAGTTTTCACTGCCAGGCAGATTTTAAACTTGATTCATACTTGTTGTACATAGCAGTGAAGAAAAGGGTGTTCTAGCTAGTGGTGATCCCAGCACCAGGGAGGCTGAAGGGGAAAGACTGGAATTTCAAGGCCAGCCTGGGCTAACCTAGTAAGACCCTGTTAGGCTTCTATCTAGATGTCTTACCAAACCTCACAGACTCATATGTGGGCTTTTTGGAGCTGGCTGATATAAGGTGTATGATGCTGGGATTAAGGGTATATGTTACTGAATTAGTCCACTGATGGGTTTAGCGGAGCTCTGCATGTGGCTGAATGGATTTACTGAAGACAGGCTCCACCCTGGGTGGGGGTGGGATAAAAAGGAAAGGCAGGTTTCCTGCTTCCTGCCTCCCATTCCACGGACTGTGCCTCCTTGGTCCTGTGCCACTCTGCCTTGGTGCCAGCTGACTGTGGACTGAAACCTCTACAAACTATGAGCTAAAATAAACCTTTCCTTTAAAAAAAAAAAAAAAAAACAACAACAAACTTGTAGGTGTTGAATATTTTGCCCCAGCAACAAGAAAAGTAACTAAATTAGACCCTGTCTCAAGAGAGAGAGAAAAAAAAAGGGATGTTGCTTTTAACTTAGCAAACATACTTCATCTAGAACACTATGCTAGGTGCTGAGGATTATCATACTGAGTAAGATATGGTTCATGCCTCCAAGGGCTTGTAGTCCACTGACTAAGGAGGCCCAGAGAACGTTATGTGGATATATATATATTATTTTTTCAAAATTTTATTGATAAACAGCAATGAGACAGTTTCAAATCAAATCGGAAGTACAGTTTCAACAAATAACACACTGCATATATTCTTCTTAGTGGTTAATTGCTGTACAAGATGCAGACTTGAGATCCTTTTTACAAACACCATTAGAACAAATCATTCTATTCATTAAGAGAATGCAACTATATATCTATCCTAACTGTTATGTGGATATATTAATGTGGTTTTTTATCTTTTTTTTGTGGAACCGGGGGTTGAACTCAGGCCCTTGTGCTTGCCAGGCAAGCACTTATTCTACTGAGCCATCTCCCCAGCCCCCCCCCCCAGAGAATGTTAATAGGAGGGAGTTAGCGAAAGGTTGTGGAATTCAGTCAGTTTAGGAGTGTCTCAGATGTAAACAACAGAAAATCCAACTCAGATTAACTAATGCAAGAAGGGACTTAATTGCCTTCTGGCATGGTTTGAGCTGAGGCTCAGATGGCATCCGCAGGCTCCCTGAACAGACTGGGCTGGCATCTTTATTGAGCTGGTTCCTCTGGGCGAGGCACACATCTGTGTGCCTGTTTGAAAAGAGTGTGCTTTTTCCTGAAAGGTCAGCAAACGTTTTATTCCTTTCCATGGGCTCTAACCATATAGCCATCTCCCGGTCAGTCACTGGTGGTCGGAGAGTAGGATACAGTGATTATAGTAGCCTGCATTACATCTGATGCACTTAGAGCCTGGGAACAGGGCCAACTTTGTGTAAAGCACATTGGCCATGAATGGGGAAAGATGGTCCTAAAAGCCTGTGAGGACCCTGGAACCAGAAGAATGAACAGTGGGAGCTGAGCAGCCCAGGGGTCTGCCAGGTGTTTCTGCAGAGCTGAGATAAAAAGCAGGCACTAAGGCTGTGCTTGCCGGTCACAAAGTCCACGTTGGGACCCTGAGACTGAACTGTACTTTTAGACTTAGGTGTTTTCCATAATTTAAGTCTTGATGAAAGTGGAGGGGCTGGTGAGATGGCTCAGTGGTCTAAAGCACCTACTTAGAACAAGCTTAGCAAAGCACAGGGACCGCGGTTCAATCCCCCAGCACCACATGCCAGCCGGCCTGCCCCCTGGTGGGCTGAGCTGGCCACACACACACACACACACACACACACACACAAACAAATAAATAAATAAATAAATAAAAAGAAAGTGGAATACAATGCAGAAGAACCCTGACTAGAGGCAGACAGACACAGATTTTGAGTGCGGGCTTTATTACAGCCAGGTCATTTCCTATCTTTAATTTCCATTTTGAAAAAATGGGGCCAGTATTAGGATTTAAGGTTATTTTAAAAAATAGTCCTAAAATCGGGCCAGTGAGATAGCTCAGTGGACTAAGTGCCTGCTTAGGCGAGCGCAGGGACCAGGGTTCGATCCCCCGCACCACATGCTGTGCCGGCCCGGCCCCAGGTGTGCAGAGCTGGCCACCAAGACCAGTCATGGTGGTGCACGCCTATAATCCCAGCACCTGGGAGGCTGAAAACAGGAGGGTCACTATGAGTCTGAGTTGCGTAGGAGACCCTCTACCAAACACATTAAAAAAAAAAAAAATGCACATCAGTTAGTAAGGCTGAAATTTGTGAGTTAACTTGAACAAAAATCTTGGCAGAGGTACAGGCTACTCCTGAGCAGCAGCAGCCGGCGGAGGAATGGAGATGCAGACATACTGCGCCAAGCTCCTGGAGGAGCTGAACGAACAGAGGAAGAGGGACTTCTTCTGCGACTGCAGCATCATTGTGGAAGGGCGCATCTTCAAAGCCCACAGGAACATTTTATTTGCTAACAGCGGCTACTTCCGGGCCCTGCTCATTCACTACATCCAGGACAGCGGGCGACATAGCACCGCCTCGTTGGACATTGTCACCTCTGATGCCTTCTCTACTATTTTGGATTTCCTTTATTCTGGGAAGTTGGATTTGTGTGGGGAGAACGTAATTGAAGTTATGTCAGCTGCCAGCTACCTGCAGATGAATGATGTGGTGAATTTCTGCAAGACCTATATCAGGTCTTCCCTTGATATTTGCCGCAAGATGGAGAAGGAGGCTGCTATGGCTGCAGCGGTGGCAGCAGCTGCGGCAGCGGCGGCAGCAGCGGCAGTTGCAGCCCATGAGGTTGACAGTGGAAGCCCCAGTTCAGGCAAGGAGGGGACTTCCCGCAGTACCAAGAGCTCAGTCGCCTCCCCAGCTGAGGGAAAAGAGAGTGTGGACTACACAAAAGAGTCCCCTTATGATGACTGTGGAGACTGTCACCCCTTGGAACTGGTGGTAAAAGACAGCCACAGCCGTAGCTCCTCTGGCAGTGACCTCTCTACTCGGCCCAAACGGGTAGAGCCCAAGGTGGAATTGGATGCTGGGGAGGCGGAGGCCCAGGTTGGGGAGCAGCTGCAGCCCTGCGCAGCCCCGCTGAGCCTGGCCCACATGGAGGAGGGCCCGCCTGGCGGCCAGGCTGTGGACTTGACTTACAGCAACTACCATGTGAAGCAGTTCCTGGAGGCGCTCTTGCGCAGCAGTGCTGTCCAGAGCAGAGATGACCGAGATCACCACTTCTCTGGAGGTTTGGAGGGAAGACCGGAAGGTGCAGGGATGGCCATGGGTTCCATGGTGGATGTCCAGACTGACTGGTATGGAGAGGACTCAGGTGAGCTCCGTCAACACTCATCAGCTCCAGTCCTTTAGTGCACACGGTCTTGCCTGTGTCCTCCCCGGTCATCGTTGCCACATCATTGTCACTGCCATCATCACCCCCACCATCACTGCCACCACCACCATCATTGATGTTGTTGCTACCGCCACCCATACGTATTCATGGAGCCTGCTGCGTAAGGGCATTGTTTCTTCGTGATTTTTATGTTCTGCCTCTCCAACTAGAGTATAGTCCTCCTTTGTTATCCATGAGGGATTGGTTCCAGTATTCCCCTTGAATACAAAAATTATGGATGCACAAATGTCTTACATAACATGATGTAATATTTGTACATAACCTACACAAATCATCCTGTATCCTTTAAATCATCTCTAGATTATTTTCAATCTTTATTGCGGTAAGAATGCTCTGTAAATATTTGTTATATAGTATTGTCAAAGGAATGATGACAAGAAAAAGAGTCTGTACATGTTTTCTGTGCATACAGGTTTTTTTCCAAGTATTTTTTGACCTGTGGTTGGTTGAATCCATGGCTACTAATGGCTGACTGTGAGTATGTTAAGGGCAATTCAGAGACACGGAAAGCTGTCCTTGTCTTCCACTGACTAGCAGTGGGACCTTGGTTAAATGACTGAATTCTGAGCTCATTTAGTTATCTTCAAAAAGAGGCCAGGCGTGGTGGCGCATTTCTGGAATCCCAGCACTCGGGAGGCTGAGGCAGGAGGATCATTTGAGTCAAGACCAGCCTGGGTTGCAAAGTGAGCTCCAGGCCAGTCTGAACTGCAGAGTGAGACTCTGTCTCA